AAGGCAGATGTTGTTGGCAAAGACAGGCATCCAGTTTTACTTTCAAAAGTATGTTTTAGTCCTAAACAAGGCAGTAAAGAACAGGCAAATCCTTTAAAGGAGAGACTGAGTTGAAATAGTAGAGAAGCAAGACGTGTTAAATAGATACTTCACAGATGTCTTCACAAATAAAAACTTATTAAATTCCACATTTAGCTATTTTGGCTCAACACTCTATGGTACAAATATCCATCTGTAAATCATTGTCACGAAAAATAAATTAACTGTCTACAGGGCTTGAGGGATAGGAATATGAGAAAAGGACAGATGATATGCGATATAGTTCACCAACTCCATTTAGCATGCTCACCCACTTCTTCAGGAATTATCATTTTTAGCAGCGGTTTCAACGAAAAGTAAATTTGAATAAAAGACTCAAAAGGAGAAAAGCAGTAGGCCTATGGGGAAAGGGGTGGGGAGTGGGACTACTTCAAAGAACTGGAAGAAATTCAATGGGCTGAATGGTCTCCTTCTATGCTGTACCAGTGTATCATCCTTGATCCCAAATTGGATTAACCCTTAGGTGTATATTTTAGGATCATCAGATATCAGTTGAAAGTTTCACAGTTTTCCAGCTTTTGCTACAATAAGTTAAGAGCAGGTAAAGGACATTTGGCCCTTCAACCTGCTCCACCATTGAATAAGATCATGGATGATTGGATTGGGGCCTTAACTTCAGATTTTAACCTATCCCAATGAACACTGACACCCTTGTTATTCAAGAATCCATCTCTGCCTTAAGAGTATTCATTGGGCTCCCACTGTTCTCTAGGCACAGAGCTTCAAAAACTCATGACCTTCAGAGAAAAACAAATCTTCCTCACCTCTACGTAAATGGAAGACCCATTATTGTTAAACTCCACCCTCTCGCTCCAGTCTCTCTCACAAGGGGAAACATCCTTTCAGTATCCACCATGTCAAACCCCTCCCAGGATCTTGCACATTTCAGATTTACAGGCTTCAACAAAAGCTACTTCCTGATCATCATTTTCTCGACAAAGAAAAAGGTTACTAATTCAAGTTTTCTTTGCACACACTAGTTGTGCGTGGAGTGGTCCTGATATATGACATCGGGATTAGGGCTTGCTGGCATTCACTACTGAAACACACATACACAGGAAAGGTACTGAAAAGTAGACTTACAGACATAAACTGAATCACAGCAGTGAGTTAACTGTCTGGAGAATGGTTTAAACTGTTCTTGTTACTCCAAGTAATAAGGCCCCAAAAAAGACAGGTTGTAAGGGTGCACATGTTTCTGACTAGAAGTGCATCATCCACCTTATTGGCAAAGATAAAAAAAAATTGTCTTTTACCCACACTTGCAGCAGAAGTTAGGCCTTTGGAA